ATCTTCCCACCTTTCACTGGTCCAGCCTCTGCCCTGCTTAACTAGGATCCCGAGAAGTCTATAATGTGCCTGTAACGATGCTCATGCACATACTTCTATGGGACTGAAACCCAAGTAACTCTGGAATTAAAACAGTGAAAGCTTTGCACATATGGTAGACTAGTTTATCATTACTGCTCACAGCCACTCACTCATGCTCCTTATTGCCACCAACGCACTTTCCTTAGAAGGGGATGGTATTTCTCCTCTAACTCTGTGACTCCACTAGGCACACAATCCCTCCCAACCACCACCCCCCCGTCCCCCACCATGCAAGGAAATGACAGGGCTAGAATTTTTAAATTATGCTTTTTAAAGTCTGGGGTAACACAGAGGAGAATTGTGTTAGAGCTGGCTCACAAAGCAAGGTCTCGGCTTCCCTCTTGGAGTTCTTACTTATCTGGCTCAAAGCCAACCCAGAAACACCAGCCCGGATGGTGGCGTTCCTTTCATTCCCAATACTGGAGAGTAAGGCCCCAAGAGATACTGAAGTTCTTCCTGTGTTCCCCATCTAGATGGCCACTGTGTCAGAGGACTTACCTGGAAATAGCCCATTAGAAAAAGTGTACCCTCTAAAGCCCTTCAACATGAATATAAGCAATCGCAGCAAACCATGGAGATCATTTTTGTACTTTTAATATATTTTGGTAGGCTATTTTGTTTGATTGTGATAGAAGACACAACCAAAGGTAAAGGGTAGGAGATGAAGTAGGAGTGAGTATGTATGTGTGTTATGACCATGTTTCATTTTGTGTGCCTATTGGTGAAAATACCGAAAACCTAGTCATATTTGATTTACCTTTTTGATAAACTTTTAAATAAAAAGCATCCAAAGCATGCACCAATAGATCATATAATGCAGTTCTGTAACTGTGTGGATATGGTGGCTATTTAATCTATGTTGTCATGTGCTTTGAGTTATAAGTACATCCAGACTAATATGGGATAATATTCTGTTATTTGCTGCAAAATCTTTTAGCTTTGCTGTTTCTTTTTTAAACAAAGTATTACTAAAAAAAAAAATCTCTGTACAAGGAAGCTGATTTTATGAACTGTCCAAAAGAAATGGCAAAATTTGTCCTAGAGGGCATGTCAGCCTGATTGGAAGGACACATGGGAGGAGTTTACATGGAGCTCTTCAGCTCGCTGCTCTGGGTAGTGTGACAGATAGTGTGACATGCCACCCCTTATTATTCTTCTGCTTCCATCAGACTTTTCCTAGTATCATCTTTTTCTTGCCTTTTTTAATGCAATGTGTACGTCTAAAGCAGATGAGTTTGATGCCATTCAATTATGTTCAGAATTGTTTCATAAGTAAATTGGGGATTTGCTGGTTGGGAGGGGGGGTTCTGGGTTTCCTTTGCTGTGGAGAATACTTAAAGTGTATGAACAATTACAGCAGAGTACTTGGGTTTGGCTAGATTATTCTACTTACTGGTGCATGATCACTTGTCATGTTAACTTCATATTGGAAGTTGTAGAGTGACGTCGTGAGAGACAGCACACAGGGCTCGATTCCTCAGGGCCAGGCCTTCACTGCCCACTGCTCAGACTCAGGGGCACTCAGCATCATCTGCCAGCACTGCCTGAAGTTGATCTAGTTGGACAAAAACTCACAAGTCATTTGCTGGAGCTTGTCTGGCTTTGGCTACTCTCTGTTTCTCCCTGAGAGCAAGGTTAGCAGCTCTCTCCTCTTCTGCCAGGCCCCTCTAACTCAGCTCTTTCTCTTTTCCATACTTTCTGGCCTCTTTCCCAATATGTGACCTCTCTAGCCTTTGATGATGCTAAACTCTCTAGGCCAGTGCCCTCTTTTCAGTAATGTGTTTGTCTTTTTGAATTGTCACTCAATGCCATGAAGTGTTCTCTCTCTAACTTTCAACCATTTTTCTGATAGCAGCTTTAACTTTTTCATTCTTCTCTCTCAACCATGGATCCATCAATCAACACGAACTTGTCTAAAGCCAAGAAAGCTAATGTGCATAATTTATATTAGAGGGGATTCCAAATAGCTCTGATATGGAAAAGATATGTTCCCCCTTCAAAAGAATCACATCTATCATTTTAAGCCAAAGTGTTTCCTATTATTCCCTTGAACACCAAGAATGAAGAGGCCAGCATGACTTTACGCACGTTCTTCATTCTGAATTCTGGTTTAAGAGGAAGCCAAGTGCTTTCAGGTAGGCAGAGTATAGTGGCAATAAGGGATGTGATGAATTGAATAGTGCCAATCAATGTCAAGATCCTGCAGGGTCTTCCAGCTGATGAATCGAGCCCCCTGTGCGCAACTGAACACCACATTATGTTATTTTGTTCTGGAATACTTTACAGTTTCATTTCTTTTGTTTTGTCTTTTTTATTTCAACAAAATGAAAATAGAGCTCGGAAGTAAGTTGTGTGAGCTGTTCCTTTCAACATTTGCAGAATTTTCTACTGGCTGCATGCACCCAGCAGATCCTTTATTTGTGAATTTTGGTAGTCTGATTGCTGCTATGGAAATGTGATCCAAAATCATGATATTTTCCTGTGATAAGTGAAGTTCACAAGGAAGAAATCAACATCTGTTTTTTAATCTTTTGTGGGAAAAAAAGTGTACTATCCATGTGCATGTTACCTTTTATTCCGGCAGCTGCAGCTTGAGCAAGGTTTTTCTGTCTGCTCGTCTAGCATCACTAGCAGTCTAAGAAGGTAGACCCATACCATAGGGAAATCAGAGGGCAAGACAAAACCATTTAAGTCCCAAGTGTTAATGGCATTCCAATCAGGGTCAGATCACTCACAAATCAATCAGATTTATTACTAATCTAGAAAGCTCTGTCATCTGACATAGATTAGTAATAAACACCATGGGCAAAATTCTACTGTCAGTCATAGCTTGGAAATCCAGAGGAAGGACACAGGACTCCAGTGCTTTTGAAAAAGTTTCCACTTGACCTGTTTTTCAAATTTTGAGAGTCTCTCTTTACTCACAGATTGCTGGAGGTATTTGGTCCAGAGCTCCAAATTCTGGGCATTATTAAACTTTCAAAGAGAGTTTGACATAATTCCCCTTCGTAAAAGGTATTTACAGTAGTAAAGGTGCCATCAATGGTCTATTTAAAATCCTAGTTTTGAATTCTAGCCATAGGCCAGAAACTGCTGAGCTAGGAACCCACCATTTTCCTTTGGGGAAAAAAAATATTGTAAGCAGGTATCAGGAAGTGGAGATAAGACAGGACCTGCCTGAGACTTTTTTCTTATTTCTTGCAATAATCTAGACATCCATGGTATCAAAGGGAAAAGCTGTCTTTCCATATGTTTTAGTATTAAGGACTTACTTGGGTGTCACTCAAAGTCAATTATGACACCTCCAGCACTCGAGGATAGCCCTAACCTAACACTTCATCCTGTGCTTGAAGAAACAAAGTCAAATTGGGGTCAGTGAGAGTGGAGTCCCCAGCTAATGTTGCAACTTTCCCTACTCCTCACTGATCCACAGATGATCAAGGTGCTCAATGTTTGATTTTTCCTGAGGTTAAAAGGTAGAGTTGAAGAATTATAACTTTTCTTGGTGCTTAGAGAAAACTCTGTCAACAATATGTTGAATTCAAATATGTATTTGTAGATTTCTTTCAGACTAGAACTTAGTCTATCTCTACAATAACATCAAAAGGAGCCAATTAAGTCCCTAATGAGCACACAGCAATTAATCAATAAGTCTTAACCATTTTAGATGGCTTAGGACTGTTATAGGTGGATGTCATTTAGACTCTAGCTGGTAGGAGCTGTATCTTCATTGTGAGCAGACTCAGCTACATGCTGCCTGTCCTGGTGCAAGACAAAATCACTGAGTGCTACAAACACATTAGGAAAATCTCCCTGGCAGTAAAATCTTGCCCTGTGAATCTTTTATATCTCTTATGTAGTTATATACTATTTAAATCAAAAATTATAAAATACTGTCTTCATTCATTGAAGCCATATAGTAAAGGATTCCTTATCAAGCCCAAGAGAGATTAATATGCACTTTATTTTTTCCTTTGTCACAAAATAGCTCAGGGACAATGATTCCTTTTTTTTTGTTTTTTTTTGGGGTTTTTTTGTCAGCTTTGTAATAGCTGGCTTACAGAACAGTAACCTGCCTTTCTCTTATAAAGTCTTAATTTCTTAAACATAAGAATAATGGGATAAATATTTACTGGGGTACTAAATAAATAAAAATAAGAGTTTTCATTTAGGAAAAAAATGGCTTTTTAAGAGTGGCCTGGTGGCCATCAATCAAATATATGCAAGAACATTTTAAAGTAACTAAAATTAACCTTAAAATAGATATTCTACCCACTAGATCTATTTTGTCATTTTTTTAAAAACTACAATGAAAGCTAAAAGAGATCCTCCAAAAAAAAAAAAAAAATCCAGTCTGGCCTCTGTTCAAATTCAATGTCAGTTTAAGGTAAAGTCAAGCAAAACAGATTAAGAAAAGTGTATGTTTTGAGTTATCTTGCTGCTGGTTGAATAAAAGTGGATTTGTTAACAAGAATCTCACTTATCACTGTGTTTTCATCAGGTTCAAATGCCTAACCCAATTCATTTCAGACTAAACAGGGTTAATACCTGTATCTAGTCATGTAGGCATAGGAAGGTATTCATTGCTCCAACATGATGAAATTCCAGTTGCTTTGCATCTTTCTTCCTATGTCTATTTGTCATGATACTGGGGCTTTGAGGAATGTTTGGCTTTTTCTCATATGGTTAAATCCTGATGAGTCTCCCTGAATCCCACTTACCTGGTACATAGTCGTCCTGAGGACATCTCATCTCTTGCTCTCCTTTCTTTTTGCGGTGTTGAGGAAGCATGCTTCTCATTGTACCAGATACATAACCAGTGTGGACTTTACCCCCAAATACTCCAGGCATTATCCATGCAGTTTTTTGCTCTTGTGGATTTTGTGCATGCCCCTTTGAAAGCAGTCACATAGCCAGAAAAACAAGAGGACCTTTCTGACTTCAGATTCTGTCTTTTAGATTGAGAAGTGTGAAGATGGAACAGAGGAAACTGAATGATCAAGCAAACACCCTAGTGGATCTGGCAAAGGTAATCCTGAGGGTCTCAGCCCTCATGATTGTAGCCATTGGAATTAGCCACTGCAGAGTGTTGACTTCTGAAGGAGCCACCACAAGTTTAACAAACAAGGCTGTCAAACCACCCCAAAATGATGATCCAACTTAGAAGCATTTTCTAAAACTCATACTGAGTTCATTTGCTCTTCATCCAAATACTAATTTTCCACTGGGGGTAGTACACTGGAAATACCCTAATATACCTTAGTGGGATATGACATGATCCTTATCTGTAGAAGGACAGAACTGTATCTTGGATGTGACTATGAGATTTTGGGATAAATAGAACTCTTCTTTCTTATAGTTTAGCAAACATAAAAGTATATAGATTGAATTTTTGAAATCTGAGAAATTATATTCTAAAATAAAATTTGTATTTTAAAAGAAATTATACCCACTTTTTATGTTTTTTTCCATTTTGTTATTTAACAATCATGCTTCTTTTTTGACCAAGTATATTAATAGTTTTTTATTTCTTTGTCATATCTAAAAGATTTATCTGCTTCATTATTGTTCCTCCATAAGTAAAAGCCACTCTGAAACTATGAATATTTATCAACTATGCAACCATTCCATCCTGTTCAGCTAGTTCCAAAGGGGACTCTAGAATAGAAGTATGTATGTGTTCCGCCTTTTAGCACAATTGCTTTGGCAAAGGCAATACATACATCCTGTTTTATATTTGATAAATCATATTATGTTTTTGCCAAATCTTCAAGTATAATCTGTGAAAATTAGACAGTTGGCCTAGTCTTATTAAATCGTACTTCCAAATGATATTCACTTTATGCATTATCAGTGACACACACTAGATAAACATATTCAAGATAAGTATTCGGTGATTCACTTCAGGGGAGCACTCATCATTCACACAAGCTGTGCACTGTGCAAGCATGCAGGACGAAGACATCCTCCATTAATGTGGCTTTCTTTCACTTGAGGTCATGAAATGATATTTATGTGTGGCATCACTCCTAGGTTAAATGCTTAAAAATATTGGACGTTCAAAACTAAAGGTTTGTATGAAGGTAAGGATATACTTTAAGACTACAGTAGGAAACAAATCTACCCTGCCTAGCACACATGAGCTCATGCACCTGCTCTCCAGTTCTATTCATATACACAAAAGGTATGTACAAGGTAAAATACTTACTCTGACCACAGGACGATACATGCTATAAGAGTCTAGTATTTCTCCAATGAATGGATGTTGTTCAGTTTTCCCAAGAATATAGTAAAAGCGAAGTTCTCAACCAGAACAAAATGTCATTATTCTGAATGACTTCCTCAGTCAGTTCATTAACATCTTTAAGCACCAGTGAAGCTGGACCAGATACAGGAAGAAATGAAGTAGGAGGAGAGGGCAACACAAAGAGTCTCAGATTTGGGAAAGATGGTACTAGACTCAGGGTGGCATCTCTAACCTTTCCTCTTGGCCACGGTTTCCCATTCCTAGTTCTGAGCTGCTCAGCCCTGCGGCTTTCTTAACTACTTCAGGAACTATAAGTAAGACTTGGACTCATGGTCCCCTCTGATCAAGACAATATCAGTTTCCCATACAAGAAAGCCATTCACATTCCTACTTCACACCATGTAGCTCTGAGTAGACCATTCCACAATAAGGAGACCTGTAAACTTTTACTCGTGTGGTACACTGAGCCCACACTCAGAGCTTTGTGCCTCTTAGGCAAGTGCTTAACCACTGAGCTTCACCCCAGTCCTGGTATCCTGGTATACTAAGGTGTACCTTAGTATCCTCCCCAATCAATCTTATTGAGGGTTTATATTATTTCACATTTTATCTGTGAAAGTTCTTTAGGTCCAGTGAAAGGAGGTCTGAGATTTGGAACTTCAGACAGTAAATGTTTGAGTATTGCTAAGTTACATGCTCAAATCAATTGATCTTAAAATTTATTCCTACTCTTCCATTATGTTATTACATTTCACTATCATCTGACTGCTAATTTTTGTTCTTTAAATCTTACTGTTATTATAAAAATTGGTCAGGTTGTAATATCACCTGTTGAAAATGAATTTGATATGCTAACTTGTATAGGATTCATCACCACATAAATATTAAACTGAAACATTTTCATCTAACTTTATGTCACCTAAAATCATTGTGATTTTTTCTAAATCATAACCAGTTAATGCCTGTCATCATTCATTTACATCTTAGCATTAAGCATACCTGGAATTTACTTTGTGACCTAAACTGTTTGGTTAGCTGACACACCTGTCCACCAACAAGAGGCCGGTGTTAAAGCTTGAAGAGTTGACTGTTTGCTTCTGAAGCAAGAGTAATTAAGCCTCTTACCTCTCTGTTTGTGTCTTCTCAATCTTGCTTTCCAGACCCAGAATATCATGTATGACATGATTTCCGACTTAAATGAAAGGAGCGAAGACTTTGAGAAAAGGATCGTCACCCTGGAAACAAAATTAGAGACTTTGATTGGTAGCATCCATGCCCTCCCTGGGCTCATCAGCCAGACCATCAGACAGCAGCAGAGGGACTTCATTGAGGCTCAGATGGAGAACTATGACAAGCATGTCACCTACAATGCTGAGCGCTCCCGGTCCTCGTCCAGGAGGAGGCGGTCCTCCTCCACAGCGCCACCAACATCATCAGAGAGTAGCTGGAAGAGAATAAGAGAACCACAAAAAAAGACTTTTTGCCATCATATGGTCAATATGTTAGCTTTTATTGTAAAGCCCCTATGGTTCTAATCAGAGTTATCCGGGTTCTGATGTCAGAATCTTGGGAACCTGAACACTAAGTTTTAGGCCAAAATATGAGTGAAAACTCTTTTTTTTTCTTTCAGATGCACAGGGAATGCACCAATTATTGCTATATAGATTGTTCCTCCTGTAATTTCACTAACTTTTTATTCATGCACTACAAACAAACTTTACTACCACAGTATATGATATATAATAAAAAAGTTAATTTCTGCACATATTTGTTTGGTCTCTTCCCATCTCTATAACTTCAGTTCTTACACTGTTTCCAGGGTAAAATGACCAGCTATTATCTGATCCACATTGATAATTTCGATTTCCAAAGTGTATCCTGAAATGAAAAGACTAAATTGTTCTCCACCTGATTTGTGAAGATTTTCCTTCCTGAAATATTAATATCACAAACATTTGGCCTCAACTTATTTTAAGTTCATAGCATATTTTAGTGCTTCCAAATGATATGGAAAGTTGGACAGTTTTATTAGGACATATGCAAACAAGGGGGAGAGACATTTTCAATAATTATTTCATTCCTATTTTATAAGCAAAGAAACATGAAGAAGTATCAAGGGACATCACTGTCTGTGAACTCATGTTGCAGAATTTTAGCTCTCAACTAGTGATTTCCTCGTTCATTTACCATGAAAACCCCAGGGTACACTCTTAGATAGATATGTGGCTAGACATGTATATGGCCAATACCTATCAGTTTGTAGACTGCCATGAGAATAATAAATATGTATGAGCAAAACACAGCCTCTCACCTAAATATGGTCCCTTCTTACAATCTACTAAAACATGAGGTGTAAGTAAATGACATACAGTAAATTTCACAGATTTTCCATAATTGTTTCAAGAGTGGCTGTAAGCAGTATGCATGAAAGGGAACTGGGTAGTTAAAGCTGCAAAGTCACCATAAGAAGAAACTAGGTTTGGAAAGAGCAGGTTGAGGTGAACACATAGAAGTGCCTCACATAGAATTCTTCCCCAAACCCTACAGGGAAACAAATGAGATGGGGTGAAAATGCCAATGCACTGTGACAACTTACAGCCTCTTTTAGACACTCCAAAGTCAACCTATTTACACTGGTCTGATCCTCAGCATTATTTACTTCAGAAAAGTCTGTTTAAGCACTCATACTCTCCTCCTAATTGCACACCCTATCCTCTGCTGTCAAATTTGAAGTGTTGCAAGTTGTGAGCATTATTTCCTTCTTTGGCAAAAGCTGCAGTGATATATTTGATCTGCTTTACATAGTTCAACAGAAAAAATTTACACATCTAATCTCTATAGCTTAAAAAAAATAAACCATCTCTCAAGACCACATACAGGTGTTTGAGATTGCAAGAGACCTACTTATCTACTAACTATCCAGAGTGGCAGAAACCAAGCCTCATTTAGATAGATAGATAGATAGATAGATAGATAGATAGATAGATAGATCTACGTGTATGCTGGATGATGACAATGCCTGGAAAGCCTTTTAATATCAAAGGACAGATGAGAACACTGTTTATGGATGCATGCTGCTGAGTTAAACAAATGTCAGCATCCTACCTCATCAAGAGATCTCATTTGTAGATGCAACTAAACAGCCTTTTTATATATTTTGGATCACATACAAGAATATAGCAAATATTTGGTACAAACACTGAAAAAAAGGAGAACATTTTTGAAAAGAGAATATATTCTTGTAATTGATGTAGTTAATTCTTGTGTTTTCTACCTCTGTTGTGACTAAAATCAGAGTCGACATAATTAGCTTTAATTAGCACTTTACTGATCAGTTGGCAGTCTAAGAGAGTAGGAAAAAATAATATATTGCTCCTCTTGTTGAGAAAGAAAGAAGGGAAAGTGAGAACAAATTTAGGTTGATTTATGTTATGTTCATTTTCTTCCTCTTTGCCATAGCTCCTCTGGATAGGTTACTCTTTTGTGCTTTAAATTCATCTTACCTTTGCTATTCATTTGTACAAACTATACAAAGACTGGCAATATATCTTTCCTCTTTTTTTTCCTTTAGTGAAATAATCACAACTTAAATGAGGAGAGACCTATCCACTCCAAAGGCATGCTTTTCATGATTGTATTTTATTATTTTCCATTTAAGTGGCATTATCAAATCTCCCTTCAAATGACTTTGAACATTGGCAGAATTCTTACATCTGCAATTTTCACTTCAGAATGCTCAGTAAGAAATGAATTCTGTTGGTCTTTCAGCTGGCCACTCTCTGCCCTCTTTCTCTAGAGCCAGTGTATATCTTTGTAAATTGAAGGCACTATCTTCCTCAATAAGTTCTCCCATTTCCTTATGCATGTGTCTATGCTAGTCACTAAAGAAAGAGAAAGTGAAGATGGGCCAAGAGCATAAGTGGTGTTCAACTTGGAACCCTTGGGTGCCTTTCCCCTTATTTTCTCCTCTCATTATGACTGTTTTCCAAGAGGCTCTTCAGCAAAGTGCCTGTAATAATCAATCCATTATGTTTGTAAACAGTGCATGGGCACTGAAAAATTTAAGCTTTTGGTTAGAGTTGATAGGAACCTTCTTTTCTTTGTTTTGTTTTATTTAAACTTCATCCAGTCTTGAGAAATGTCATGATAAAATAAACTAACTGGGATTCAGGGTTTATCTCTGCTTCATTCTACTGCACTTTAATAATGTCCATTCTTTAGTTCTAAACTCCTACCCATCTATAGAATGGATAGCAGAAGACACATACCCATGGAGCTCTACGGAGCCTGGTATTGATCTCCCAATGATGGGAACTATTAATGTGTTTGGTATAAGGCCACAAGCACTAAATATTCTTGTAATCTGTCTTTCTATGTGCACACCTAACACTTTGGAGTACAGATTATAATCCCAACCCCTCTGCTTACCTGTCTAGTTCATTTTTGAAACAAACTTGTAGACTCTGGATTAGTACATTCATTTCCTCATCCTCTCACTGTTGTGATGTGGACCAGAATATCACTTGGACGCTTTGTGTCTCACATTCTGTGACTCCATTCTGTTCATAAGTATGATCCTGAAGTGTGGAAGGTAGGACAATGATAGAAAACTAAGAGAAGGACCATAAGGCTCAATTACTTTTCCAAATCCATCATTGTGGGTCCTGGACTCCACCTTCTCCCAGCATACAACACACTATCATCCTGTGTTCCATCTGAATTGTCATATCATATCACTCAGAAAAAAAGTCTTCTGGTTGTCTGACAAAATCCTGAGGAAAGGGGATTGACTGGGGCATTCAGGTACAAGACATCTCTCCCCCCACTGTCATCACTGCTGGAGTACTCTCGTGTCGTGGTCTTTACCAGTTTGTTAGGCTAGTGAGAAAAAAAATGCATAGACTTGTGAAGGATGCCTTCTAGTGCTGCTATTAAATATATCAAGTCAGCTCACCCAGAAATACTGAGTACACAAAACAGTTTCACACGTTTCCCAGCTGACTTTTAAAAAAAAACTCATACTCCCCTCCCCATAAATGCCCTTTTTTCCAATCATACTTTCTTCTGCCCCAAAGTGTATGCTCCCCAGATGGCAGTGTGCGTAGCAGGGATATGACCCAACCTGTCAGAAGGACTGAAGAGGTGATGTATCAGAAGCTTGCTCACGATTGGATTCAGCTAAAACCTGAACACAAAAGGGGCAGCAGCCACAAGCTACAGTCAGTCAGAAATATGGACAGAGGTGCTTTTCCCATGGTTGCTTACCTGCCCCCAGTAGCACTTCATGAGCCTAGGGAGGCCTCTGTGCATTTCTCCATGACCCAGCTCTTCTTAAATATGTCAGCGACAAGTTTTATGTAATCCAGGCAATAGTGTAAGTATATAAGTTTATTTCTATTGAACAGATGAGGACACTTCAAGTGTCTATTTCTAAAGTATACTTAATATAGGCAATAACTTCCTTTCTCATAAATGTATTCAGTTTCCTGGGAACTCCCACTCTGTCTGCCCTAAAATATAAGCCTATGAACAAGATTTAATACTTTCCCTAAGTTTTTTTTTTTTTTTCATTCTGGCGGCAAACTCCTCTTTCTTACTCTCCCCTCCTCTCCTCACACTCCCTTCCCCCTTTCCCTCCACTCCCTCAATCCACCCCTCCTGCCTATTTGATCCTTATTTACTCCCATGGGCATCAGCAATGCAAGGCATATCAAGCTGCATTAAGGCCAAGCACCTCAACAGTATTCAGGCTGGGCAAGGCAGTAGTGCATGAGAAATAGGTTCCCAAGAAGCAGTTAAAGATCCAAGGACAGTATCTGCCCACATTGCCAGGAGTCACACAAATTGACCAAGCTACACAATTGTCATATGGTCATATGTGTGGAGGACACCTATATTGATTCTATGCAGGCTCCCTGGTTGTTGGTTCAGACTCTCTGAGTTCTGATGAGCCAGGCTAGGTGTTTCTGAGTTTTTTTTTTCTCCTGTAATGTCCCTTACACCTCAGGCTCCTACAAGTCCCTCTCCTCAGCAGGACTCCCAGAGTTCAGCCCAATGTTTGGCATGGGTCTCTGAATCTTCCTCTATCAGTCACTGGATGAAGGCTCTCTGATGACAACAGGAATACTCACCAATCTGATCACAGGGGATGGCCTATTCAGACTATGCATCCACTGCTGCCAGGAGTTTTAGCTGGGGCCATCCTTATACAGGCCTCGAAGTTTCCCTTGCATCGGGCTTCTGCTAGATTCCATAGAGTCCCCCTTTCCAGTCATCTATCTCAGCACTCTCTCCCTCCACCCATCCCACAAGCTGATCCCTCAAGTCCCCAGTCCAACTAGGACTTCTCTATTTCCCCTTTGCAAGGAGATCTAAATATCTACCTTGGGCCCTCCTTGTTACCTAGCCTCTTTGGGTCTACAGATTGCAGCATGGTTATACTTTACAGTGAATATCCACTTATGAGTGAGTACATGCCATGCTTGTCATTCTCAGGCTGGGCTAACTCATTCTGGATCATTTTTTTTTCTAGTTC